GGAAAAAAAAAAAAGTAGTAGTTGGACACATACCTTTATTCATTTATTTATTTATTTTTATGTGGTGCTGGGGATTGAACCCAGAGCCTCGCATGTGCTAGATGAGCTCTCTACCGCTGAGCCACAATCCCAGCCCACCAGTATTCTTGAACTGCAAGAAATACTAAAAGAAGTCCTTCTAGCTCTTAATGGAAATGAAAGCAAATAGTAACTGAGATCTATAGGAAGGAATAAAGATTATGGAAAATAGTTAATATGTGGTGAAATATAAAACTTTTATTCTCTGAATTTCTTTGGGAAAATAGAACTTTTAAAAGTAAAATCATTGCATTTCATTTTGGAGTAGAATGTGTTGATATATATTATTCCAAAAGTCTTCATGCAGTTTAAGCTTCATTATTTTTAGAAACATAAATGTCACAAACTTTAAAAATATCATTTGAAACTTTAATTTTTAACATATACTTGTTTTTATGTTATTTTGTGAAATTTTAACTAGTAGATTTGCAGTGTTAATATTTTGTTTCAATCAACTTTTGCCCACTCTAAAGGACTGGCACAAAAAAATTAAAATGCAGTATTTGTAGTAGTTTTTTTTTCTGTTTCTCCTCAATATGATTTTGGTGTCATATTTTTAGGGAATGTTTTCTTTTTACTTAGTTTCATTTTATTGGCATAATTATTCATAATATCTTCCTGTCCTTTTTGGGGGGGCGGGAGTTGCTAGGGATTGAACTCCAGGCTTTCTGCATGTTAAGCAGATGCACTACCACTAAGCCATGTCCCCAGCTCTCCTTTTTCTAACTTTTTGAGACAGAGTCTTGCTAAGTTGCCTACGCTGGCCTTGAACTTGTGAACCTAAGTATCTGGGACTTACAGGCATGCACCATCTATGGTCCTTTGTGTGGCTTAGTCCATGCAGAAATGAAGGTCAGGAGCAGTGCAGGGGTGTACTCCTAGGTTTATATCTGGGACAGCAGGCATGTATGTGTGGCCTGCCTTCTTTTCTTTTTGATGCCAGCAACTGTAATAGTATGTCCATTTACATTCCAGTTATTGTTCATTAGTATATTCTCTTCTTTTTTTGTGATCCAAAGAGAAAGGTATTTGCCATTTTGGTTAGTTTTTTCAATGAGCCAGTTAACCTGGCAGTGTGTCATAGTGGTAGTTGATTCTGGCAGGAGACAGCAGTGGAGACCAAAGTTTGATAAAGAAGAGGAATACATCCCACAAATTGCCAACTTATTTGAAAGTGGGAAATGGTGACTTTATTTTTTAAAAATTATTTTTTAATTAATGACTTAATTTTTTATTTTTAATTAGTTATACATAAGAATTCATTTTGATACATATAATGGAATATATTTTTTCCTGGTTGTACATGATGTAGAATCATACCAGTCTATAGTTATATATTTATGTAGGGTGATAATGTCTGATATATTCTACTACCCTTCCTACCCCGACACCCTCTCCCCTCCCTTCATAGCGATTTTATTTATTTTTTGTTACTGGGAATTGAACCCAGGGGCACTTTACCATCAGGCTACATCCCCAGCCCTTTTTATTCTGAGTCAATCTTACTAAGTTGCTTAAAGCCTTACTAAGTTGCTGAGGCTGGCCTCAAACTTGCAATCCTCCTGCCTCAGCTTCCTGAGCCATTTGGGATTACAGACATGGGCCACTGTGCCTGGCTGTTAGTGTGAATTTATGCTCACTTATCCTATATTGTTTTTGTAAAAATATTTTTTTAGTTGTCAATGGACCTTTATTTTTTATTTATTGATATGCAGATGCTGAGAATCGAACTCAGTGCCTCACACTGGGTGTGAGCTCTGCCACTGAGCCACAACCCCAGTCCCTATATTGTTTTTTACTGGACTTTTTTTTTTTAATCTTAGTTTGTTACTTTTCACTAAATCTTGCAAATTTCCAGTCATTGTCTCTTCAATTATGATTATATTTTTATTACCTCTGTTTCTGCCTCTTTTTCTGAGGCCATAACTTTTTAAAAAATTTTTTTTTATGTATGGACCTTTATTTTAATCATTTATTTATATGTAGTGCAGAGGATCCATCCCAGTGCCTCACACATGCTAGGCAAGCCTGAGCCACAGCTTCAGCCCACTGAGGCCATAATTAAAAGTGTCAAACTTCCTCAATTTTTCTTCCACTTCTTAACGGCCTTCTGTATTTTATGCCCATCTTTCTTCCCACACTGGGTAAATTTTTTTCCATAAATTATCTTCAACTTTGCTAATTTACTCTTAATCGTATGTAATCTGCTACTGAATTAACCTATGAAGATTTTAGTTTGTTATATTTTTACTTTCTAAAGCTTGTTATGCTATATTTGTCTTTATAGATTGCTGATCTCTGCAGAATCTTTCAGACTAAGCAGGGTTGTTGTTTTTTTTGGAAGGGGGACTTTAAGCATAGTAAGCTTTAAGCATAGTAAGCTTAGTTTTATAATTTGTCTTGAAATTGTCCAAGATTTTAAGGGTTTGTTGCAGTTATATGGTTTCTACTTGTTCTTCTGATTCATTGTTTTTATGCATTTTATCTTTGCCTGTGTGCTGCTCATTGTCTTTGAAAAATTTTAAGAATAGTTAAGTGATGCAAGCTTAGTGCACCTATCTCTGGAGAGGGTTTATGTTTGCTTCTGCCTGCTCCTTAGGATTTCCAGCACTTCAGAACTATGTTAATTTAAATTAACAACTTGAGGATTTATGGACCACTCTAGTGATATGAAAATTGAGGTGCAAACCCATGTGAAGATTGGTTTCTTTCTCTCCCTGATTACCCAAGACCATATCTTTCAGGACTCAATGAAGGAAAACTTTTCTACAGACAATCTACTGTAGTGGACCCCAGTTTTGCTATATGTCTCCTTTGCAGTGTTCAAATTTGCCTGGATTAGGAGGTACCCTTAAGACAAAAGTTGTTCCCACTTTCTCTTCAGTTTTTTTATTTTTTTAGTTGTAGATGGACACAGTTACCTTTATTTATTTATTTTTATGTGGTACTGAGGACGGAAGCCAGTGCCTCACATATGCTAAGTGAGCACTCTACCACTGAGCCACAACCCTAGCCCTTCCCTTCAGTTTTGGCCTGATAATTTGTCACTAGCTTGCTAGTACTTTGATGTTCTGGGCATATTAAAAATGATATTTTACCTAGACTTTTTAGGGTTTTTTTTCCCTGTGGGAGGGTTGGTCTAATAATATATTTCTGAAATTGAGGGGTTCCTCACCAAATAATTACTTTTTCACCATTTTTTATTTTGACTTTTCTCATCCTCAAATCATAATATCTTATGTATTATTCTAGTTTTTTATGCTTTGATTTTTCCACTTAAAACTACTGTACTGTACATTATCATAAATGGTACTATAATTCATGTTGAACTCTTTCACCTAAATCTAGTGTCTTTATTGTATTACAGGAACACTGGACATCCAGAGCTATTTTGCAGTTCCAGAAATTATGTGGTCTGAAGCCGTTAGTAGGAGTAGTGGATGAATATATCGATGGAATCCTTAACATTTTTCTGTGTGATACATCCTCACATGAAGATGTCTATTTCCATCATGTCTTAAGAGCAGAGGGCCATGCTATTGTATGCCGAGAAAATGTCCCTTCCAAGGTAGAGCAAAAAGTGGATACATTTTGCAACATATATTGCTTGCTCTCAACACTTAAATTTAATACAGAAGGTTGTTTGATTTATTCTTTAATTTTAGAGCCATTCATCACATTGCTGACTTCTTAATGCAGAACACTCTTAATTTTTAGATGACCATAAAAACCACATTTGGCTAATTATCCTTTAGAATATGAATACTTTTGCCAGGGTAGGTGGCACATGTGCCAGTGGCTGGGGAGGAGGCAGAAGAATCTCAAGTTCAAAGCCAGCCCCAGCAACTTAGCAAGACCTTGTCTCAAAATAAAAAATAAAAAGGACTGGAGATGTGGCTAAGTGATTAAGTACCCCTGGGCTCAATGCCCAGTACAAAAAAAAAAAAAAAAAAAAGATTGACTATTCTCCCTTACTCCAAAGTATTTCAAAGTGTGTAGTTATCTTAGGTCATCCTAGAGAAAAGCAACACTTTTATTTTACATTATTGATAGTGATCTGTTGATAGTGATAGCTGTATCACTGCTAATATTGATGCTAATTTTTGTAACTATGTAAAAGTGTCAATATGGAGCAAGCTTTTAACTAAGAAGATAATGTACCTCCACAGCACTTGAGAATTATGAAATACTAATTTTCGTCCTTTCTTTTTTTATTGGATAGTTAAACCCTTCCTCATTTAAAAAAATTATCTATTTTTATCCAGGGCTTCAGAGACCTAAATCCTTTAGCTTTATACACTCAACCCAGTGGAGGGCCAGATAAAGTTGTCTTGACAGAACTGGGTTATTCTTCTCAGCAACATTATTTTAATGAAGACCGAGAGATAAGTCCTCGATCCAAAGAGAGCGATTTCCATGCCCTGGTAAGTTATGTTATAATAACAGTTAAATTATATTATTAATTATTATAATATTTACAAATATTATAATAATTCCTTTAATTAACTCTAGTTATCCTCGTTTTACAGATGAGGGAACTGAGGTTTTCCAAACTTAGATGCACAGTGATCTTACAACTAACCCGTTTCTCATTGTTAGGCAGCTTAAACCTTTGCAGTATTTGTGCTTCCTCTGGTGATTTCTCCTATTTACTCACTTCCTCTGTGTAGTTGTGCCTTCCCTTCTCTAACTCAAATGCTGTCCTTCATACTCACTGCTCAGGTTCTTCTTCACAGATTCTGATTTTTTTCTCCTTCAATGTTTGCCAACCCTCTCTCCATCCACAGTTACAACAGTATTATTATAACAACCTTTTATTATGCATTATTCTAGCCACAGAGCAACAATAATTATTGAACTTGTACTACCTCACAGGCACTGTTCTGAGTGCTCACGTGTAATAGCCTTCCCATTCTAAATAAAAGAAAGTGAAACTCATGCTAAGAACTTAATGTTTCTTGAATAAACAGGTCCTCTTGAGTCTGATAGTCCAGTACTTGTTGTCATGAGGAATAAGAGTATAGGAAGTGTTTAATCTGAAGGCTGGAAATATTTTGTTGTTGATATAAGGATTTTAATTTTTGTTGAATAAAATAAAATGTAAAATATTCTTTTTTGAGTTTTAAAAATGTAGATTTTATTTCTTAAAGCTAAAATGTAAACTATTTTTTGTTGTATATTATTGTATATCTGACTTTTAAAGTTATAGAGATGATTTTTTAGTAGATATTTACAAATTATTAGAAAAGATAAAAAAGCCATTTTGACTACTGGTAGATACTGTTACAAAAAAAAGTGTATTAATGTTGTATGTTCAAAACTAAGAAATTTTAGATCTCTAGTTAAATATTAAAATTAATTGAGCTGGGGGCTAGGATTGTGGCTTAGTGGTAGAATGCTTGCCTAGCATGCAAAGTATCCTTGGCACCACATAAAAATAAAAACAAATAAAATAGAAGTATTATGTCCATCCACATCTAAAAAAAATTTTTTTTAAATTAATTTGAGTTGGTTTGGTTCATAACAAACCTGAAATATTCTCTCATTCTAACTGGGTTCAGAAGAGTTACATTTCCTCATTTTAAAATGAATTGAACTCAACCTTTAATATTTTTAGAATATTAAATATTTTTATCAGGTGTTGATGTCTTCAGATAATCATTGTTCAGTCCTAGAAATATAGGAAGACTCTCTTTTCTGTACAAAGGGACAAAACTCTCCCAGCCCAGCCCACTCCAGGTCATATTTTGATATAGCAAGATTGCCATATGCTACAGACACATGTGCCTCCCCCCGTTCTTTCCTACTCATCTTTTAAGCATCCTAACAGTTTGTTATCTCCTTTATTGCGCCTTCCCAGACATCCTCCCTCAGTAATATTTTCAGTACCTCTCTGTGAAGGCGCTACTTGAGAGATTGCAGTGTCATGACCTGGTTGTGTGTTTTCCTACTGTATTTTTTACTTTAAAGCTGGGACCTGTTGTATCCTTCAGAAAGGTATCCATAGACATTTGGTCAAATATGCCTAAAAATGGTTTTTGCCTAAAAATCGTTTTCTAGAATGGGAGGGTCTAGGGTCAGGGATAAAGTTAGAAAATAAAGTAGCATTTGAATGAACCATAGCAAAAAATACCACCAAAATTTTATAGGCATGTAGATTTTGTAAACAACATTAATATAGAAGACAAAGAATTAATTTCATATCTACTAAAAAGATATTAATGATGAATTTAAGTCATCTTAAATCTATGTCAAAGGAGCCATTAAAGGATTCTGAATTCAGTTCTCTGAAAACTCACAAGAGCTGTGAAGAAGATCTAAAGTGGTCTATTCCAGAGCCAAAGGATCTGAAGGAAGAAAATGAGGTAGGAGAAGGAAAGGTAGTTTTTAAAAAATATGTAATTAATATAATTAATTCACAAATGAAGAGACTGAAATAAATTAGCTTTTTGCTTTTATTGTCATAGATCATCTCTCACAGATGAATTATAAATTCTCTCTTTAGCAGTCTCCAAGATGAGTGTTTTAGGGACATAACCTGATCGTGGAAAAGAAAAGGCATCACCTGGCTTTGATGTGCTAGTTACTCTCCTGTATGTTTATGCCATATTCAAGAATTGTGCAGTACCTAAACACTGGGATTGAGAACAATGCTAGGGAAAAGGGTTTATAACTTTTTGAAGGGCATGTTTTATCTTTATTTTAGTCAAATGTTTATGTATACATAGCCTAAAGTCCCTTATGACCATTTCTCCTCTGTGGTCTATATCCCAAAACAACCATTTTCATTTATTTTAGCTACTTATTTTGGAGTTTTACCTCTATTGCTTTAATACATACATATCAATTTCTGCTTTCTCAGTTTTATGTATCTGTGTTCTACCCAGTAGAAGGATGAGGGCTTAGTTCTCTTTCATCCCTTCACCCTACCACACATAAACATAACTGTTGTGTCCCCTCTCCACCATCCATCATACTGAGTGTATCAAACTTTCCATTAGGTCACCACTCACATTTGCATTCTTATGGCTGTAAATGCTGTTCATGGCTCAGGCACATTGTATGGTATGACACCTTTTCCTTTCCTGCATAACTTTACTTTGTCTTACCATCTTTCTTTTTAAACTAATATATGGAAAAATTGACTTTCTTTTGGTATAATTTTCTGTCAGTCTTAATATACAAGTAGTTTCATGTAACCAATATAAAAATCAGCATGCAGAGTGACTCCATCAATCTGAAGTAACTCCCTTGTGCTACCCTTTTTTAATCAATCTCCTCCATATTCCTGACCCCAAGCAACTACTGAATGCATTACAAATCATATCACACACATAGAGCACAATTTTTCATACCTCTGTATACAAAGTATATTCACACCAATTTGTGTCTTCATATATGTACTTTGGATAATGACTATCACATTCCATCATCATTTCTAACCTCATGCACCCTCCCGTCCCCTCCCATCCCTAGAGTTTGTCTATTCTTCCCATGCTCCCCCTCCATACCTCACTATGAATCAGCCTTCTTATATCAGAGAAAACATTTGGCATTTGTTTTTTTGGGATTGGCTAGCTTCGCTTAGCATTATCTCCTCCAGCTCCATCCATTTACCTGCAAATACCATGATTTCATTCTCTTTTATTGCTGAGTAATATTCCATTGTGTATAAATGCCACATCTTTTTTATCCATTCATCTTCTGAAGGGCATCTAGGTTGGTTCCACAATTTAGCTATTGTAGAAAATGATATAAAATCAATCAAAAAATATATGAAAAATTTTTATCTCTAGCAATTAGAGAAAATCAAAACTACTCTAAGATTTCATCTCACTCTAGTTAGAATGGCAGCTATTATGAATAAAAACAATAAGTATTGGTGAGGATGTGGGGATAAAAGTACATTATACACTGCTGGTGGGACTGCAACTTAGTGCAGCCAGTATGGAAAACAGTATGGAGATTCCTTGTAAAATTGGTAATGGAACCACCATTTGACCCAGCTATCCCTCTTCTTGGTCTATACCTAGAGGACTTAAAAACATTGTACTACAGGGACACAGCCACATCAGTATTTATAGTTTTACCTTTTTAGAACCATCATATAAGTGGAATCACACAGTGTTGTAATCTTTAGGACTGGTATCATTTATTCTTCTAAAGTGTTGCATTTAGCAATTTCAAATCAAAGCTTTTGACTACTTAGTTTGGATTTATTGTAAGGATGTATCATGCTTGTATAGCTTTTCATCCATTGAAGAAAATTATGCATAGAACTGCTACAAGTATTTGTGTACAGATTTTTGTGTGAACACAAGCTTCATTTAAATAGGGGAAATGCCTGGGAGTAAAATTGCTGGGTCACATGATTATCAAATTGTTCCCTAGAAAGGTTGTATAATTTTGCATTCCCACTAGCAATCTGTTCTAGTTGCTCCACACCCTTGCTAGCACTGTGTATTACCAGTAATTTTAATTTTAGCATTCTGATAGGTGTGTAGTAGTAGTACCACATGGTATATTTTGCATTTCCTAATAACTAATATGGTTTAACATCTTTTCTGTACTTAATTGCCATCCATACATACTTTTTGTAGAAATGTCTGTTCAGGTCTTTTGCCCATACTTTTATTGGGTCATTGGGTTTTTTTTTTTAATGTTTTTGAGAATTTTTAATATATTCTGGATGCTACTCCTATGTCAGATATGTGATTTCAAATATATTCTTCCACTTGTAGCTCATATTTTCATCCTTTTAATAATGTCTTTCATGTAGCAAAAGTTTTTAATTTTGAGAAGGTTAAGATATCAAATTTTTTTCTGTGTACAGTGTTTCAATATTGAGAAATCTAAATTAAATTGGGGGGTGTATGGGGTTAAGACAGGATTTATTTTGTTGTATATGTGGATGTTCAGTTGTTCAAATATCATTTGTTGAGAAGACTATCCTATCTAAATTGAATTTCCTATAAAGCATTACCAAAATTCATTTGTCCATATTTGTAGGGTTTTTTTGTGTGCGTGTGTGCGTGTGTGTTGTGTATGGTGCTGGGGGTTGAACCCAGGGCCTTTCACATGGTAGGCCAGTGCTCCATCACTGATCTACTTCCCCAACCTAGTCATCCATACTTATAGGAGTCTATTTCTAGACTGGATTCTGTTCCATTGTTCTGTTATATCTATTCCTTTATTGGTACTAGACTTTGAATACTGGCTTTATAGTAGTCGGGTAGTATAACTTCTCCTATTTTATCATTTTTCAAAATTGTTTTTTAATACTCTAGTTCTTTTTTCCTTCCCTATAAATTTTAGAATCAGTATATCTATATTTGGGATTTTGTTGGAATTGTGTTAATTTGTGGATAAATTTGAGGAAAGTTGATATCTTTATTCTCTGAAGACAGAAGCTACCTGCCTATTAATTTAGGTTTTTTGTTTATATCTTTATCATGTAGCTATAATTTTCAGTATTCAGAAACTACATATGTTTTGTTAACTTTATACCTAAATATTTCATTTTATCTGGAGCTATTTTAGATAGTTTCATTGTTAGAATATATAATTTTTTAAAATTTTGAACTTATATCTTGTGAACTAGCTGAACTCACTTATTAGTTCTAGGAGTCCCTTTGGGATTTTCACATAGGTAGTGGTGTCTGCAAATTAGTAGTTTTATTTCCTTCTAATCTATATGGATTTAATCTATCTGCCTGCCTTGCTCTGGCTTGTATTTCAGATACTGTTGAACAGGAGTATGAGAGAGAATATCCTTGTACTCCTGAAAAGTTTTACCCATGCATGAATGTTGAATTTTTTTTGGGGGGGGGCTACTGGGGATTGAACTCGGGAACACTCAACCACTGAGCCACATCCCCAACCCTATTTTTGTATTTTATTTAGATACAGGGTCTCACTTGGTTGCTAAGTGCCTCACTTTTGCTGAGGCTGACTTTGAATTCAAAATTTTCCTGTCTCAGCCTCCCGAGCTGTGGGATTACAGGTGTGTGCCCCTACACCCGGCTGAATGTTGAATTTTGTTGAATTATGTTTTGCATATATTAATAGTCTACTCCATTAGATATTGGATAATGAACCCTATTGGGCCATGGTGAATTATCTTTTTATATATTACTGGATGCAATTTGCTGATACTTTATTGAAGATTTTTATATCTGCATGAAAACTATTGGTCTGTATTTTCTGGAAAAGATATCAAATTTATTTCATTTCCTTGTTTTATGGAGTTTAACTATTTATGGTATACAACGTGAAGTTTTAATATATAGTTTTTATGTATAGCTTGTGGAATGGCTAAATGAAGCTATTTAATGTATTTCTTACATACTTTCTTTTTTTGTAGTGAGAACAATTTAAGTCTACTTTCTTAGCAATTTTCAAGTGTACAGTTCATTGTTGTTAACTGCAGTCACCAAGATGAACAATAGATCTCTTGACTTATTTGTCCTGTCTACTGAAATTTGTGTCCTTTGACCGGTATCTTCCCAATTCCCCTCTCAGCCTCTAGTAAATCATCATCTTACTATTCTGTGAATTCACTTTTTTTAAATTCCACCCATAAGTGGGAGTATGTTTTCATCTGTGCTTGGCTTTTTTCAGTTAACATGATGTCCTTCAAGTTGTCCATTTTGTCACAATGATGGGATTTCCTTCTTTTTATAAGGCTGAATAGTATTCCATTGTGTATGTATACCACATTTTCTTTAGACCTTCATCTGTTGATGGATGCTTAAATTGATTTTATATTTTGGTTGTTTGTGAGTAAAGATGCAGCAAACATAGGAGTAATGATATCTTTTCAAGATATTGGTTTCATTTCCTTTGGATTTATACCCATTAGTTAGGCTGCTGAATCAAATGGTAGTTTTGTTTTTAATTTTTTGGGGAACCTCCACACTGTTTTACATAATGGCTATACTAATTTATGTTCTCGTCAGCAGGATATAAGGGCTTCCTTTTTTCCACATCCTCACCAATACTTACCTTTTATTTTTTAGTAAGTCATTCTAACTTGTATTGAGATAATTTCTTTGTAGTTTAAATTTGCATTTCTCTGATTATTGGTGAGCATTTTTCCATATGCCTGTTGGACTTTCATATATCTTCTTTTGAGAAAGGGAGAAATCTGTTTTCTTGGCAGAAATTTTTTGTTTGATGTAATCTGCTTTGTCTGTTTTTGCTTTTATTGCCTTTATTTTGGGGGTCATACTTAAAAAAAAATGATTGCCCAGACCAGTGTCTTGGGGCTTTTCCCCTTTGTTTTCTTCTAGTACTTTTACATCTTACATTTAAGTTTTTAATTCACTTTTAATTGATATTTGTATGTAATGTGAGATAAGGGATGTGAGATAAGGGCTTAAGTTCATTCTTCTCTGTGTTTAGAATCCAGTTTCCTCAATACCATCTATTGAAAACACTGTTCTTTCCCCCATTGTGTGTCTGGGTATCTTTGTGGAAAATTAGTTGACTGTAATGCATGGATTTATTTCTGGAATTTCTACTCTACTTCATTTGTCAATTTGTCTGCTTTTATGTTAGTACCATGCTCCATGTGTTAGCTATTCTAGGATCTGTGCCTTTACATAATTCCAGAGTAAGTTTTTGCCTGCAAAAATACCTTGCTGGGTTTTCCATAGATATTTCATTACAGTATTTGATTAATTTTGAAGAAAATTAACATCTTTATCATGTTGAATCTTTTAACATGAATGTTGTGAATCTCTCCATTTATTTAGGTCTTTGATTTCTTATCTCTGCATATTGTAATTGTCAGTATGTAGGTTCTGTATATGTTTTATTATATAATGGTATTTGCTATGATTATAAATGGGGTATTTTTAATTTCAGTTTCTGCATGTTCGTTTCTGGTATGTAGAAATGAAATTGATTTTTTTGTGCTGATCTTGTATAGTGCAACCTTGATCACTTAGGAGGGTTGTTTTTTTTTTTTTTTGGTAGATTATTTGGGGTTTTCTTAGTCATGTCATCTACAGATATGGTTTTTTTTTTCTTGCTTTTATTTCTGTTCCTTGTTTTTTGCACTGGATAGAGCTTCTAGCACTATGTTAAATAAAAATGGTGAGAGACAGACTTTCCTGGCTTCTTATCTTGGAGGAAAAATACCAAAGATGTTAGTTAGCTCTAAGTTTTGTATAAATATTCTGTGCAAATTGAGGAAATTCCCCTCTATTCTTATTTTTCTGAAATATTTTGGCATTTTAATTTATATGTTATTTTTTTTATTATACCACTGGGGGAAACCCTACACAGATATATCTAGGAATTACAATATAAACCCTGACTTCTTTTTACAGTGGACTTAATGGGTAATTTATCACTGAACAGTATGTCAGTATTTTACCATCATATAAATCATCTTCTTGCTAACTTTTTACTATCCTTATCTTATGTATTAAATTTACATTGAAATTTCATAGTGTTATATTTCTTGGTTTCCACATTCAAATATATTCTGTTCTTCCTTTTTCAGTGCTCTAGCTTTCCTTCTGATATCGTCTCCTTTGCATCCAAAGAATTGGAATTCTTTTTAGTATAGGTCTACTGACAATAAATCTATTAGTTTTCTTCACTGACCATATATTTATATCTTCATTTTAAAGAACATTAAAAATATGAGAGGTATTTTTGCCAAATATAGAGATCTTGTTTGCTATTGCTTTTTTCCAGTACTTTAAGCTGCTTTTTTTTAAAAAACATATTTTTATTGTTGATGAAATTTTTATTTTATTTATTTATTTGTATGTGGTGCTGAGGATCAAACCCCGTGCCTCACACAGCTAGGGAAGCCCTTCACCACTGAGTCCCACTTTAAGCTTCTTATTGCAGTTCCTTCTGGCCTTCATAGTTTCTGATACAAAATTCACAGCAATGATATAGCTCTGTCTCTACATGTAATATTTCATTTTCTCTGGCTCCATTCAAGATAATTTCTGCCTTTAGTTTTCAGAAGGTTGATTATAATCTGTCCAGGCATGAATTTCCTTGGGTTTATGGTGTTTGGGGTTTGCTAAACTGGTAGTTTTGTGTCTTTGGAAGTTTTTAGCCACTTTTCTTCAAATTATTTTTTGACATTGTTCTCTTCTTTTTGGAAATTTAATTACCACAAATGTTAAATATTTTGACATTGTCTTTTAGTTTCTGAGGCTTTAAAAAGAATCTTCTGGGTTTTTTTTTCCCAAATCTTTTTTTTTTTTCTCTGTTCAGATTTGGTAATGTTTATGGATCTGTCCTCAAGTTCACATGCCTTTTCCTTTTATCTCTATCCTGCTATATTAAAAAGAGGGCCAGCAATCTTCAGTATAAAAACCTTCACCCAATTTCTCTTTCTTACTCTTCTTGTTTTGCTTTCAGTTTTACCCTCTAGAAGTCTTTCTTGGCCCTCTGGAAGACCAAGAGGTGTGGTTGCCTGAGTTCTTGAAACAGGGCAGGGCTCTGAATATCTCATAGCTGCTCACACTGACTTTTAACTGGTGTTCTTGTTTTCATTGCCATTTTACTCCTTTTAGTGCATTTTACACCTTATAGTGCATTTCCTGAACTTTTAAAGTATTCTATAAATTTGGGTTGCTTCTCAGTTTTTCTCAGTATAACCTCTGCAGTCTGCTTTATTGGGATTCCTTAGTCAGTTGACAGTTGTCTGCTTTCCTATATCCAGAATGTGGGTGGCTTTTTCTTTAGTCTCTTTGACCATGGAGTTTATACCCTAAGTCTCTTTGTTTTATTTTGGTGGCATTTCAGGAACACAGGAAAAATAAATAGCAATAAATTGTGTATTTAAACTGCCATCCTTGCTTGGAGTCAGGAAACATTATAAAACTAAATTTTAAAATATGCTCATAAGGAACTATAAAATATAGTTTTTCTTTGTCCTCTGATACATTCTAGGATGAGATCCCCACTGGAATGCCATGCCTGGAGTCAGTGACCATAGGTGATGATATCTGGGATGAGAACTGGCTACCACTGCAGGCTAAAATAGGAAAAGGAGGTGATGCTGCCTCCCATTTATTTACCTCAAGCCTTGGTGGAAAGAAACAATGTCCTACATGTGAAGAAATGCCACAGAAGGTTAGACCCTTGGGATAACAGAAAGAAAATCACTACTGCAAAGAGGAAATTTAAATTTAGTTGTCCAGGCCTTGAAAAAGCTATATGTTCTGGAATTTAAACGAATTTGTCAGGTTCTAATTCATAATAGTACATGATTAAAAAAAAAAAGTGGTAGTAGTACATAAGTGGGCAGAGGAACCATCAGAGGGAAGTCTTATTGTGATTATCTGCCCTTTCAAGTGTTATGATAACTGTTTTATCATTGGCCCACCCAGTCAATGGAATCCATAAACAAACTGAAGAAACTGTTTTCTGAAATTTATTTTTGTTGCATTAGTCTTTTAATATAACCTTGTGTTTTTGTAGTCAAGACATTTGCTCATATTGTACCTAACTATATATATTTGAAATATGTTTTCCCCTACTTATAAAAAAGAAGAAATACTTGTGAGAAAGAAGATGCAGTTAAGTTACTCTCTAGTATTTATGCTTTTTAAGTTCTAAACGATCATGAAAAATCATGTAGCTATGGAAACAATCTTGAATACTACAAACAGGGTTGTTTTTATGTTTATGAGATTCAAGCGTTCAGAGAAGTTGAAGATGTTGGGTGCAGACCCAGAACAGAAGGAGGAGAGTCACAGTGATGTAGAAAGTTAATCTGTACCTTTCTTGTTCGATGCTCGTTTCTTCCTTGCCTCTGCAATGCCCACATTATCCTCTTCGTTTGATCATGTGTTACTATTCAGTTTATTGTTGCGTTTTTCTTTATCTTCTAGGATTGGTGTTTTCCTACACCCAAAGATATATGGGATGATTCCTGGCAGCCTTCAGGCCTTGTGAATGGTATGAAAGTAGAAATTAAAAAACGAGAAGAGCTGGATACTCAAGAAAAAAATACTGGTACAACCAGAATTCTAAAGGTAAGTGTTCAAGGCAGGGGATGTACCTTGGTGGTAGCACTTGTACCCAGCATGTGTGAGGCTCTGGTTTCCGTCCCCATCCACCTCTGCAAAAGAAAACAAACAATAAAGAATAAAATATACTCTACAAATTAGCTTAGAACTGGAAGGAAAATAAATGTATTCCATCATCAAATCCTCAGATAACATAAAAAAAGAATAAAAGATAAATATCTAATGAATTTTACAGTAGCATTTGCATGAGTAAGTACTTTCATTCTTAGTAAAATAATGAGCAGTTGATACACTATAGAGGCATAAAACTTATACTGACTTTAGAATAAATTTTAATTAATATTCTCTCTTTAGAATAAAATCCTGAGCCTAAAATTAAAAGCCTGATTAAATCTGTATTAGGCATAGAGAAAAATAGGGATATCCTATAACTTAGCCATATTTTAAGCTCTTTTGTAGTGTAGACCAATTTCTTCTTTTGTGTTGCAATGTCAGAAAGCAGTAACCCTGGCACAAAATCCATGTTTCATGTTTCTCACATATATTATATGAGTGTCCTGAAAACAGCAGGCAATTTGTGTAAATTATGAAATTTGGTACTAGGTCTCTTATTAAAAATTAGAATTGGGGCTGGTGTTGTAGCTCAGTGGTAGAGCACTTGCCTGGCATGTATGAGGCCCTGGGTTCAATCCTCAGCACCACATAAAAATAAAACAGAAGTATTTAAAAAAATCAGTTTTGAGGAAGATGAATCTTCTAAGTGATATATGTTGTACAGAATACAATCATTCTGTTTGACAGCAATGATAAAGCCATTCTATATTGCATAAAACAGTTCCAGATATTTAGGTTACTTAAGGGAATGGATATAGTTTTAGCATAACATAGGCTTTTATATTTTGTGATATCACTTTTTAAAAAACATCAGCTTTTAGTCATGAAAGTCATTAGGAAAACTAAGAGGCCCAGAATAGTCAAGGCAATCCTTAGCAAGAAAAATGAAGCAGGAGACATCACAATACTAGGCCTTAAATTATACTACAGAGCTATAGTAACAAAACCATCATATTGGCACAGACATGAAGACCAATGGAACAGAATAGAAGACACAGAGACAAACCCATAAATATAGTTGTCTCGTACAAGACAAAGGTGCCAAAAGATAGCTCTTCAACAAATGGTGCTGGGGAAATCCATATATAGTAGAATGAAATTGAACCTCTATCTCTTACCCTGCACAAAACTCAATTCAAAGTGGATCAAGGACCTAGACCAGAGACTCTGTAAAGAAAATATAGGCCCAAATCTCCATCATGTTGGCTTAGGAACCAAGTTCCTCAACAAGACTCCTAAAGCGAAAGAAGTAAAATCAGGAATCAATAAATGGGATGGTATCAAACTAAAAAGCTTCTTCACAGCCAAGGAAATAATCAAAAGCATGTAGACAGAGCCTGCAGAATGGGAGATCTTTGCCGTTTGCACCTCAGATCGACCATTAATCTCCAAGATATACAAAGAATTGAGAAAACTTAACACCAAAAACCAAATAACCCAATCAGTAAATGGACAAACTGAACAGACACTTCATAGAAGAAGAAATATGAATGGTCAAAAATATATGGAAAATGTTCAATATCTCTAGCAATTAGAGAAATGTAAATTAAAACTACACTGAGATTCCATTTCATTCCAATCAGAATGGCAAATATCAAGAATGCAAGTAAACACATTGGTGAGGATGTTGGAACAAGGTACACTCATCCATTGCTGGTAGGATTGCATACAGCCTCTATGGAAAGCAGTATGGAGGTTCCTCAGAAAACTTGAAATGAAACCACCATTTGACCCAGTTATTTCACTCCTTGGCACATACCCAAAAGACTTAAAATTAGTATACTACAGTGACATAGCTGCATCAATGTTTATAGCAACTCAGTTCACAATAGCTAGCTATGGAACCAATCTAGGTGCCCTTCAGCAGATGAATGGATAAATAAAATGTGGTATATAAACACATGGAATATTACTCAGCCATAAATAAAAATGAAATTTCAGCATTTGCTGCTAAATGGATGGAACCAGAGACTATCACACTAAGTGAAACAAACAATCCCAAAAACCAGAGGCTGGAAGGCTGGATGTTCTCTCTGATGTGTGGATGCTAATTTACAATAAGTGGTAGGGAGGGAGGAATGGAAATTCACTGAATTAGATAAAGGAGAATGAAGAGAAAGGGCAGATGGGAATAGGAAAGACGGTAAATGGATCAGACATAAATTTTTTATATTCTTATGTAACTACACGACCAGTGAAACTTCACATCATCTACAATTACAAAAATGAAGTGTTATGTTTCATGTGTGCCACAGTCTGGCTGGGCAAAATAACCGAGAGGTGTCAAGCAACTTGAAGGTTGAAGCGGGAACTGCTTTATTACAGAACAACAGTGGTATATATATATATATCTAACTGATTACACACAGCTTGATTCAATTATCATCATCCAGATACAGCAATCAGCCAATAAGGAATCCCCACCATCTTAATGGCTTGGTGGTGTTGCCTCACAAACCACTCCTCCTGGCAAACTGCCAGGCGCCATCTTGACTTGATTGTAGCCCCCAACATCTCCCCCCTTTTGTTTTATTAACAAATATGTGGTTTAGGGACTGTGCCTGTTTTAGGTTGTCCAATACTACATATGGTTCTTACCCGTCATTGGATGGTCTGACCTCAAATCATCAGCCTCCTGGCTTAGGTTGGTACCATTGTAATTGGATCTTACCCATCTTTGACTACCGGCCCAATATATTTAGCCATACTTGTGGATCTGTGTAATATTTACAAACACCATAAACAACCTGCCACAAGCAGAAGGAGGAGGATACAAAATGCCACAATACCAAGCCATTGACTGCTCCAAGTGAGAAGCCCTTGGAAAAATTGTACCACCGATGACATGGTCAACAAAGATACCCTGGTACTATTACAATTATCAATAGATTAGTTCATAATGCATATAAGTGATACACAGTCCAGGTAAGTTCTGTAAGCAGCTTAAAGCAGAGGAATCCATTAATATGTCTATTCCTTCTTGAAGTATTGATGCAGCAGTTTGTATAGTTTGTGTGATAGCTATCGCAGAAGCTGCAGCAGCAGAAACAGCAACAGCTGTGATGATGGTAGCTATAATTCCAAAGTCTCATTTGGTTTTCAGTAATACTGGAAATTCTTCTTTTTTTGTCTTCACTGGCACTGGGATGAAGGTAGGAATTCTGGCAATGATGGCTAAAGAAAATTGTATAGCATTCCAGCAGGCACTAAGAAAACAATTTTCTGAATAATTTAGTACATTATCCTGAACAGAATTATTAGATATAATGAATAGGAAAGGTGAAAGTAAACAAACAGATCTGTTAACCTCCTTTTTTGTTCACATTTTAAAACAATCCTTGTAAATTTCTGAATTTAGGTAGATTATTTCAACATTTTATTATTTTTTTAACACCTAGAAAAACTTGTAAGCTTAATTTTAAAGACATCTTTACTTTCATCTGTTTAAACTGTTTAAATCACGTGAATAAAAGATATTTGGATCCATTTTTTTAAATTTTCATGAGAGCTCCTCTTATGATATGGACATACGCACATACAGACATATAACACATAACACAAGTGTGCACACATAACACAATAGTAAAGGCCTTGTAGCTTTTCACAGGCGAAATCTCCATTGCAATGTTTAAAAACTCCACAGTTGATCAAAAATAGAACTGATCAGAAAAACATTAACCTAGGTCTGTATGAGCTCAGAAAATAAAATTGAAAAAAAACATCCTGGCTACCACCTGGGTTTGACTCTTCTTTTGATATCTCATCCTTCTTCTTGTAACTTGCATATGGATCTGAAGGTATTCCCACAAGTAAGCCCCAAGGTTTTTTACATTTGAAATAGGCCTTAATGGTGCTCATTATTCATTAGCCTCCAGGTGTGGGAGAACCGTTGTTGCAGATGTAAGGATAGCTAAACTGGAGTTCTGGATATCAGCTGTTATGGATTTGAGCCAAATCATCTTCTTTTTGGTCTGTAGAAATTGCTTTAGTTAGTCTCTCTGGAATCCAAATCATCTGCTGTTCTCCTTTGTCACTTACCCCCCCCTCCCCCAGCGTCCCAGAGTTCCCCCGTATGGGCCACCATTTGCTGCAGTGTGGCTGGGCAAAATAACCGGGAGGTGAGAAGCAACTTGAAGGTTGAAGCGGGAACTGCTTTATTATGGCACAACAGCGATATATATACCTAACTGATTACACACAGCTTGATTCAATTATCATTCAGATACATCAATCAGCCAATAAGCAATCCCCACCATCTTAATGACTCGGTGGCGTTGCCTCACAAACCACTCCTCCTGGCAAACTGCCAGGCACCATCTTGACTTGATCGCAGCCCCCAACACATGTATGATATGTCAAAATACAGTCTACTGTCATGTATAAACAAAAACAGCTTTATTGAAATATAATTAGGACACCACCATGATTTGCTAAGGTATATGATTCAGTGTCTTAGTATACAGAGATGTGCAACCTTCACTATAGTCTCTTTTAGAACATTTTCATCACCCCCCAAAAAACTTCCATACACATTAGCAATTAAGCCCCTTCCTATCCTCCCAGAGCCTACTGATGACTACTAATCTGTTTTCTGTCAGTAGGTTTTTGCCTGTCTAGGACATTTCCAATAGATGCCATACAACGTCTCTTTTAGAACAGTCTCTTTTAGAACATTTTCATCACCCCCCCAAAAACCTCCATACACATTAGCAATTAAGCCCCTTCCTATCCTCCCAGAGCCTTAAATGACTACTAATCTATTTTCTGTCAGTAGGTATTTGCTTGTCTAGGACATTTCCTATAGATGCCATACAACGTATGGTGTTTTGTGATTGTCTTTTATTTGGCATTGTCTTCAAGGTTCATCAATATTGTTGTATGAATAAGTATTT